CTAACGCAGTTATTAGAGAGAGAGAGCGAAAGAGAGAGAGATTAAGTGCGTGTGAATACTTGCGTCTGTGCGTGTCTCTCAGCAGTGTTCAGCAGCAGTGTCTACAAATAGCGTATCTTTAAGTTGAACTGCTTCAAGAACCTCGCTACTGAGAAATGTCATGTAGCTTTTCAGCTGCAAAACTATTTTATTGATAAATTCGCAGGGAAGCCACAGCTCTGACAACAAGTTTCTGTCCGCGTCTCCACGTGTGTGCGCGAGTGCGTGCGTCTGTGAGAGAGAACGGAAGGAAGAAAGTGTGATTTCCTTACATAAAAAGGTTAAAGACATGGAAATAGTTTGTCATTTTTACCCTATTGTTTGTTATATTTATTTGCTCAATGTATTTTGGGGTTTTGGTTCTTATACTGTTGTAGATATCCCATAGTATAACAAAAATATTATATATCTCTTCATTATGTTTGAGCTCCCCCCGGACGAGCAAGCATAGGCACATGCCTAGAATGCCTATGCGTAAATCTGGCCCTGCCTGTAAAACTATCTTTCCAATTAAAACGTTGCAGATGTTGGGAACGTTATTTTATGGTTGCAAAAAAATAACCTAAAAATAACCATTACGTTCTGTATAAGTTATATTTAGGTTGTTTTAAAAATTACCACTCTGCAACGTTCTGGGAACGTTATTTTATGGCTGCAAAAATAACCTAAAAATAACCATTAGGGAATGTTCTCTAAAAATTATTTTTTTAATATAAATAACCATTATTCGTTATATTATTATATATTATAATATAATTTTTTAAAATATTTAATATATTATTATATTAATGTTCTCTATAAGTTATTTTTTTGGTTACTTTAAAAACAACCACCAGGCAACATTCTGGGAACGTTATTTTATGGTTGCTAAAAATAACCATTAAGGAGCGTTCTCTATAAGTTATTTTTTAGGTTATTTAATAATAATAACCACCATGCAACGTCCTTGGAACGTTATTTTATGGTTACAAAAAAATATAACCTAAAAAGAATGTTACCCTAATGTTAGTATTTGGTTCCCCCAAAATAATAACCAAACAGGAACCAAAAACTAATGTTAGGGGAACGTTCTGTGTTTACTGGGAGATTGACATACAACATAAAAACAACAACCAAGGAAAATTTAGCAAATTTGTATCATCTATTCACCATCATGTCATTCCAAGCCCGAATGACTGTCTTTTGTGAAATATACTGAACAAAATTATAAACGCAACACTTTTGTTTTTGCCCCCATTTTTCATGAGCTGAACTCAAAGATCTAAGACTTTTTCTATGTACACAAAAGGCCTATTTCTCTCAAATATTGTTCACAAATCTGTCTAAATCTGTGTTAGTGAGCACTTCTCCTTTGCCGAGATAATCCATCCACCTCACAGGTGTGGCATATCAAGATGCTGATTAGACAGCATGATTATTGCACAGGTGTGCCTTAGGCTGGCCACAATAAAAGGCCACTCTAAAATGTGCAGTTTTACTGTATTGGGGGGTCCGGGGGGGTCCGAAAACCAGTCAGTATCTGGTGTGACCACCATTTGCCTCACGCAGTGCAACACATCTCCTTCGCATAGAGTTGATCAGGTTGTTGATTGTGGCCTGTGGAATGTTGGTCCACTCCTCTTCAATGGCTGTGCGAAGTTGCTGGATATTGGCAGGAACTGGAACACGTTGTCGTATACGCCGATCCAGAGCATCCCAAACATGCTCAATGGGTGACATGTCCGGTGAGTATGCTGGCCATGCAAGAACTGGGATGTTTTCAGGTTCCAGGAATTGTGTACAGATCCTTGCAACATGGGGCCGTGCATTATCATGCTGCAACATGAGGTGATGGTTGTGGATGAATGGCACAACAATGGGCTTCAGGATCTCGTCACGGTATCTCTGTGCATTCAAAATGCCATCAATAAAATGCACCTGTGTTCGTTGTCCATAACATACGCCTGCCCATACCATAACCCCACCGCCACCATGGGCCACTCGATCCACAACGTTGACATCAGCAAACCGCTCACCCACACGACGCCATACACACTGTCTGCCATCTGCCCTGTACAGTGAAAACCGGGATTCATCTGTGAAGAGAACACCTCTCCAAAGTGTCAGACGCCATCGAATGTGAGAATTTGCCCCCATTTTAAGTCGGTTACGACGACGAACTGCAGTCATGCAGCATGCAGATGAGCTTCCCTGAGATGGTTTCTGACAGTTTGTGCATCTTGTGGCCAGCCTAAGGCACACCTGTGCAATTATCATGCTGTCTAATCAGCATCTTGGTATGCCACACCTGTGAGGTGGATGGATTGTCTTGGCAAAGGAGAAGTGCTCACTAACACAGATTTAGACAGATTTGTGAACAATATTTGAGAGAAATAGGCCTTTTGTGTACATAGAAAAAGTCTTAGATCTTTGAGTTCAGCTCATGAAAAATGGGGGCAAAAACAAAAGTGTTGCGTTTATCATTTTGTTCAGTGTATTTTCATAAATCACACTGACAGCAGCGTTCCCATCACACCTGAATGCAGCGGCCCAGCCCCAGATACATTACTGTTCACTCTTCACCTCCTCCACCTTTCTTCTTTTCGATTCCATCTTCCTTAAACGTTTGATATAACAGAACTCGCTCTTCCTCTGTGTCATTTTGTTGGTTTTTCATATCTAGTCTTGTCTGTGCTGAGAAGATCAGTTTGAGTTAGTCATCTGAAGTAGAGTTGTCTTTCGCAGACAGCGTTCTTGTGGCAGAGGTGATGTATTGAGCTGTCTAGCCATTGTGAATCTTTCAGAACTCATCTCTGGGCTGAGCTTCACACATACGTGATAAACACCTCTAGAATGCTTGTATTGTAATGAGGGCTGGCTGCTGTTGATTAAAACATTCACATTTCTTCCATAGTTAACACGTTAACACATTCAGCTTTTGAAACAAATGAAACTAAATAAGCATTTGTGTATTTATGAGTCTCGCATAATAAAAATGACAGATTCTATTTATTATTGAAAATGTATTTATATGCACTTGAAATACACTGAATTAATTGCAAATCTTCACAGCATATAATCTTAAGTATAAAGATTATAAAATTATATAAAATTATATAAAAAATAATGAATGACGCTAGCTTGGTTATTGCACGTACATTCTTCCATCCATGCTTTTTTTCCTGAGCTGTTATTATTCACTGGCGCCACAAAATTGCTGAATCCGACAATCACAAATTTACAGTTCACCGCAACAGTGTAGTGTTACTCCCGAACGAGTGATTCTAATGAGCCGAATCTTTTTTTTAATCAAAAATATACAGCGCGACCAGTGCAGTCAGATTCTCGAATGAGTGACTCTAATGAGCCGATTCCATTTAATGAATCCAACACAAACAGCTGTGAGACGTAAATCAGTGTAGTCACTGACAGGACGTTTATATGACGTGTAGGCTAGTTAAAGATACGCATTACGAGTTTTGACAGTAAATTTAAAAATTTTACCAATTTTTTTGTTTGTTTGTTTGTTTGTTAGTATTGTTGTGAGGTAAATAGCAACAGTCCAATATTTAACTGCATTCATACTGCCTCTAAAAAAAATGAAAAGAAAGAAAAGCCATTAAAGAATCTGTTTGAACACAACTTTTGCAAGAATTTGTTTATGAAATTATTAATATAATTTGTAATTAATTTTAATTTATTTTTAATAATTTATTATTGAATTTATCATAGATATTGTTGAGCTTTGAAAGTGGAAAACTGTGTTTCGAATCACCATACAATGAAAGAATTTACTTTTAAACATTAAATAAATTATTCATAAAGAGTCTTCTTCTGTTATATACGGATAAACGGCTAAGGCCTTTTGTGTGCATGAGGCACCTGAGCTGTCAAGTGCAATCGCATCTTGCGCTGTTCACTTCACACAACAGAATGAAGAAAAATGGACAAAAAAGTTAACAGTTAAAAAACAGCAAATTAAAGATTTTTAATTAATTGTTTGATAAAGCGTTAACCTTGACACATCTATTTTAAATGTTGATTTTATTGCTAGTCTTGTTTATTCTTATTTATTCCTAGGTGTAGCATCTGTCCTGTCACACCTTTAGTTCCTGTTAACACTCAGTTACACCCCACATAAACATACAGCAAATTACATTCTCTACTTCCTATGCTCTTAAGCTCAGCGTGCCAAAATACATTTCTGGGTCAATTTTACACATGCCAAAATGGGAGAGAAAGAGAGTATGAGATTTAAAAATTCTGCTTTGAGAGTTAGTATGTGTGTAGAGGTCGGTGTGATTGATTATGCAAATGCAACTAATTTCTTAACTAAAATATGAACTTGTGCATGTTGACTTGAATGCTTCAGCAAGAGTCGTTGGGGAATCTCATGATTCTGCCTCTGTTTCTTCAAGTTTCTAATTAAAACTGTGTAATGTTTTGCATGAAATGTGCAGGAAAAACTATAATAGGGTTTTGGTCAACCTGTTAATTATATCTTTCCATCCTCCTACAAAGAAAATAAAAGAACGCAATGAAGGGCAGATTGATGCACTTAAATTCTTGTCCTCACCATTGACTGAGAGATCGATCATACTGTACAAGCGTATTGATTACAGGCCAGTGGAGATTATTAACAGCTAATATTGGATCTTGTGCTTTATAGGTGATGTCTTCAACCAATAAGAATTGAACTGTGGGCGGGGCTACCAAACAAAATGAAGCTGACATGGAAACCAAGCAGTTGGTTGGAATACGGTGCACATGAGCTTTTTTGTTTTTTGTCTGTATGCCATCCCTCCTTCATCTATCTGTCTGCCTGCTCATTAGTCTGTCTGTTTCCCTGTCTATCTACATGGCAGTATGAGGATAGTTTGAGTTCACAATGAGCTCACCTATTACTCGCACTGTGAGGATGGCAGTATGAGGATCGTTTGAGTTCATAATGAGCTAATGTATTACTCACACCGTGAGGAGCACAGTATGAGGATCGTGTGAACTCACAATGATTTCATATACTACTCACACCGTGAGGATCACAGTATGAGGATCGTGTGAACTCACAATGATTTCATATACTACTCACACTGTGAGGATCACAGTATGAGGATCGTGTGATGTCACTGTGATCATCGCATGATCTCACGTGTTGACTGGGAGGCCAATTCCTCATTTGTTACGTGTCACAACCCAGTTGCTCTTTCTCTCCCCCTCTTATTTTCTTCCTGACATTCTCAAATGACTCTGACTTATTCTTTCTTTTCCGATCTCTCTATTTTCCCAGAAAAGCTCAGTGTTGTCCGGCATGAGATGAATGCAGTCACTGCAGTCGAGGAGAGTCAAGTAAGGATACTTTACTCTATCTTGTGAGAGAAAATAAACAGTGGAAGAGATAAAAGTATTCATTGCTCTTCTGATCGCTCTCTCACACTCTCTTCCTCTGTATATTAAGAACTGCACTGTCAATAATCAAACCTCTCTCGCTCACTCCGCTCTCTCTTTCCCCTTTACATCTCCTAGCTTGTCTGCACTAAGGCATATACAATAATATTATTAATGAAGATTCCACTTCCTTAAATAATTCAAGTATTTGGATCACTGAGTACCAGCTGTAATCCTTCTCTTGATTCAGAATTTTTTTTTTCTCAGCTAAGTGCATGTGAATTAGTTATGCACCTGTAGTCATCCACTTAAACGTCTATATTTCTTGGAAACTCTCTGACATATGTTAGGCATATTTCTCTTCATTTAAGACTCATGCATTGCAGCGTTCAAGCTGTCAGATAATTTACCAATATTAATGTTCTAGATTTTTTTATCTAAATACATTTCAAATAAAACACAGTTTTCTATTTGAATTTTAAAATGTAATTTATTTCTGAGATGTCAAAGCTTTTCAGCATCATTACTCCAGTCTTCAGTGTCACATGATCCTTCAGAAATCTAATATGCTGATTTGCTTCTCAAGAAACATTTATTATCAATGTTGAAAACAGCTGTGCTGCTTAATGTCTTTTTGTGAAAACTGTTTTTAAGGATTCTTTGATGAATATAAAGTTCAAACAGCATTTATTTGAAAACGAAATCTTTTGAAAAATTATTAGTATCTTTACTTTCACTTTTAATCACTTAAATGCATCATTGCTAAATAAAAGTATTAATCTTACTGATCCTAAACGGTAGTGTATATCCAATATAAAATTCTATTTAATTCGGCCAATCACAACGCACTGGATAGCTGGCCAATCAGAGCACACCTCGCTTTTCAGACCGATGAGCTTTGTAAAAATCGACACGTTTCAGAAAGGCGGTGTCACGTAATCAAGGCTCAGATCCAACTGCGAGTGAATAAAACAGTTTATTGAATTCACAGTATGTGGAAACACACAGGAGATCCCGAATCCGAGAAAGACAGCCAAGCTCGTAGAAACCCAGTCCGAGAGCAGGAGTCAGGCCAATGGGAAACAAAAAGGCCGAGCAGGACCGGAGCACGGTCACACAGAACACACTTAGGATTCTAGGAGAGAACAAACAGTGGTGAGCAAGACAATGAACTGACAAAGGACCGTGAAACAGCGAGCCAGATAAAGGCAGCCCAGATAGGCTTCAGGTGAAACATGAAACATGAAATACGGGATGAATTCTCCCGTACGCTGGAGGAAGTTTGGAGGCGGACTGCCACCGGACTAATGATTTTGGTGACAGTAAACGGGCCGATAAATTTGGGAGCAAGTTTATTACAAACGGTGCGGAGAGAAATGTTCTTTGATGAAAGTCACACTTTTTGACCAACGATGTAGACGGGAGGCTTCGACCGGTGGCGATCGGCCTGAGCCTTGGTGCGCGCTCCCACCTGGAGGAGAGTCTGTCTGGCTCTGCTCCAGGTGCGACAGCACCTCTGGACAAAAGCGTGAGGGAACAGTGACTTCGGATTCCGTACTGGGAAAAACAGGTGGCTGGTATCCTAAGCTACACTCAAACGGAGACAGACCTGTATCCGATACCGGTAAAGAGTTGTGTGCGTACTCAACCCATGAGAGCTGCTGACTCCAGGAGGACGGATTCTGTGAAACCAAACATCGTAACATGCATTCTAAATCTTGGTTGGCTCTCTCCGTCTGACCATTACTCTGGGGATGAAATCCGGAAGAAAGACTAACAATAATCGCCCCTAATAAATGACAAAATTCCTTCCAAAAGACCGGTGGCGATCGGCCTGAGCCTTGGTGCGCGCTCCCACCTGGAGGAGAGTCTGTCTGGCTCTGCTCCAGGTGTGACGGCACCTCTGGACAAAAGCTTGAGCAGAGGGAACCGCGACTTCAGATTCCGTACTGGGAAAAACAGGTGGCTGGTATCCTAAGCTACACTCAAACGGAGACAGACCCGTATCCGATACCGGTAAAGAGTTGTGTGCGTACTCAACCCATGAGAGCTGCTGACTCCAGGAGGACGGATTCGTCAAAACCACCGTGTTGCCCTGAGAGGGCGGAAGCCCCGTAACAAAATCTAGCGAAATGTGGGACCAGGGTCTCGAAGGAACCAACAGCGGCTGGAGGAGTCCCGCAGAGGGTCGATTGGAAGTCTTAGAAATGGCACAGACAGAGCAAGCCAAAACAAAAAGTCGTATATCACGAGCCATAGAAGGCCACCAGAATCGCTGCTTTATAAGAAACGTAGAACGAGTCACCCCTGGATGACAAGCCAACTTGGAAGAATGACCCCATCGAATGACGTCAGACCGTAAACTCCCAGGTACAAACAAACAACCCGGTGGGCATCCGGGCGGGGGCGTTACCCCTTCAGAGGCCGTGCGGACCTTCGATTCGATCTCCCAAGACAACACAGAGATGATGACTTTCTGTGGCAAAATAGGCTCGGGAGAAGACGGGCGGTCAGAAAGGTTAAAAATACGGGATAACGCATCGGGCTTGATGTTCTTAGATCCCGGACGGTAAGAAATAGAAAAATCAAAACGACCGAAAAATAAAGCCCACCGAGCCTGCCTAGAGTTTAACCTTTTGGCGGATTTGATGTATTCCAAATTCTATGGTCGGTCCAGACGATGGAAGGAACCCCCGAACCCTCCAACCAATGACGCCACTCTTCCAAGGCGAGTTTGACCACTAGCAGCTCTCTATTACCAATATCGTAGTTGCGTTTGGCAGGAGATAATCGGTGAGAAAAAAACGCGCAAGGATGCATCTTGTCATCCGAGAAAGAGCGCTGGGACTAAGCAGCCCTTTAGTTTGGTAAACGCGACATCCGCCGCGTTAGACCACCTGAAAGCAGTCTTGGTGGAGGCCAAGGCAGTCAGAGGAGATAAGCGTTACGGAGATCCAATTTCGTGAAAAATGACGCCCCTTGCAAACGTTCGAAGGCTGAAGACATCAACGGCAAAGGATAGGTATTCTTTACAGTGATGCTGTTCAGCCCCCGATAGTCAATGCAAGGACGCAGGGAACCGTACTTCTTTTCCACAAAAAAGAACCCCGCACCCGCCGGGGAAGAAGAGGGGCGGATGATCTTGGCAGCTAGAGAATCAGAAATATATTTCTCCATGGCCTCCCTTTCCGGAGCGGAAAGCGAGTATAATCTGCCTTTAGGCGGAGACGTACCTGGCAATAAGTCTATAGCACAGTCATAGGGACGATGCGGAGGAAGAGAAGCAGCTCGAGACTTACTAAACACTCCCTTCAGGTCGAGGTACTCACTGGGCACGTTAGACAGGTCCGCATGCTCATCCTGAAACACAGAACAAGGCACAGAAGAACAGGCAGACAAAAGACAAGAAGCATGACACTTGTTACTCCAGGCCAGAACATAGTCATGACCCCAGTTAATGTGGGGGTTGTGTAACGTCAGCCAGGGATGACCGAGAACTACAGGAACAGATGGAGAATTAGTCAGGAAAAATTTAATATTTTCTGTGTGATTGCCCGAGGTAATCAGTCTTATCACACCTGTAGTGTGGGTAACAGGACATAATGACTGACCGCTGAGAGCAACAACAGAAATTGGATCTTTAAGGATAAAGACAAGAATCTGAAGTTTACGGGCTAGACTAAAATCCAAAAAGTTAACCTCGGCTCCCGAGTCAATGAGGGCTTGACAGCTGTATAAGTCCGAGTCCCATTGCATCTTGATCGGGAGATGGGTGACAGCGCGGGAGGTCTTTTCCATAGCGAACCCGCCCGCCAGTAACCTCCTATTTACCGGCGGGCTCTGGCTTTTACTGGACACTGAGCAATCATATGACCAGCCTCCCCGCAGTACAAACACAATCCACAGCTTTGGCGTCTCTCCCTCTCTCCCGGAGAAAGACGGGACCGACCCATTTGCATGGGCTCCGGATCCGATGTTTCGTCAAGCACCTCGCAGGTGTTGTATGTAGGTCGGTCCAGACGATTCGTAGTAGAGCGAAAAGGTTGGTACTGACCTCTCCGCCGTAACCTGGCATCCACCCGGATAGCCAAGTCAATAAGCCCATCCAAAGAGGTGGGTAGATCCAGAGCGTAGATTTCGTCTTATGGGGCGCGGGGCGCCAGTCCGTGTAAAAACATGTCCCACTGCGCCTCGGCGTTCCAGCTGCATTCCGCTGCCAAGGTGCGGAACTCGATAGAATAATCTGTAACTGTTCGGTGAGCCTGACGTAACTCCGCCAAAATCCGTGCCACGGCATAATTGAGGCTCACCGGAGTAGACAATAGTTGGCGGCAACCGAGGTTCAGCAGAGTGGAGGGTGCGAGATGACCCTGTAACAGCAGGTGGATTGGGCGCAGTGGGCTGTTGAGTAGGCTCCATCTTAAAACGCTGAAACTGGGAGGTTAATTCGGAAAACTGTGACACCAATGCTTGAACGGCGTGGCCCGTGTTCAGCATTTGTTCCTCCTGTCAAGTCATTCTTGCGTTACTGCTTTCTAAACAACTTCTTAATTCAGTGGTACTCGCTGGATCCATTTTCTGGTCAGTTCGTTCTGTCACGTAATCAAGGCTCAGATCCAACTGCGAGTGAAGAAAACAGTTTATTGAATTCACAGTATGTGGAAACACACAGGAGATCCCGAATCTGAGAGAGACAGCCAAGCTCGTAGAAACCCAGTCCGAGAGCAGGAGTCAGGCCAATGGGAAACAAAAAGGCCGAGCAGGACCGGAGCACGGTCACACAGAACACACTTAGGATTCTAGGAGAGACCAAAGAGTGGTGAGTGAGACAACGAACTGACAAAGGACCGTGAAACAGCGAGCCAGATAAAGGCAGCCCAGATAGGCTTCAGGTGAACCCTGATTAGGAGACGGGGTTGCCAGACGCAACACACACACACACACACACAGGAATGAGCACACCGACCCACAAACCGTGACAGGCGGGGCATAGAGGAGAAACAATAATGTACAGTATGTGGAAAATAATGTGTTTTTTTAACCTTAAACCGCATAAACACATTTCATTACACCAAATACACAAAATAATGATATTTTTAGCGACATCATATGATGCCTTTAATACATAATGATTTATATTAATTTATACCAATAATTTGTTATTGTTGTTATTATTCATAAATTGTATTATTTTTATTATTGATAAATAAAACAATTCTTGAATACTGTCCGATAACCAACATCAAGTCTATTGCAGAAATTAGTCAAAACGACTGAAATTGCTTACATGTCCTGTGTGTCCATTGGGTATATGGTTAAAAAATTAAGTTCATTCCAGTCAGAAAGGTTGTTCCAGTGAGTTCTGCTAAAGAGACATATTCATATTAATTAAGCCATTATAATAAGTCCCCATAACCCCCCCAATAATGGCCAGGTGTGAATGGAAATAGAGGCCAGAGAGGGAGAGAGACTGATCCTAATGGGAAGTGACAGTCAGTCCAGACTGTCTATATGTGTGCAGATGAAGTTGATGAGAGGGAGGAAATGTGTGTTGGTGTGTGTGTGTGTGTGTGGGTGTGTGTGTGTGTGTGTGTGTGTGTGTGTGTGTGTGTGTGTGTAAGTGGGCACATGCTCACGCCACAGCAGTAGGAGAGAACCAGAATTGGAATGTGAGTTCAACGTCTCCTCATTGCAGAACATTTCACTTCTATTGACCTCCTGATATCTGACACCTGCTCACTCTCAGCAGACTACACATCTTCTCAGCAGTGGGCAACTGATCTCACTTCCTCCATAATAAACAGCCAGGCGACATGGGCGGCACTTCACACGTCTCAGAAGATACAAGTCAGATTTGGCTCATTTGTGTCTTTTGTCATCTCTTTTTGGCTCTAATATCAGCACGTCTTGTTTTTGGTCCTCTGTGCACGCAATCAATAATCTACATTAGAACATGTCATACTGTATATAGTACATATGTATGTATATACTGTATATAAGCTCGCTAGTTGCCAAAGCAACTAATTTAGTTTAATTTAGTTTAACTTGATGATGCACTAAAATAACTAAAACTAAAACTGAAATAAAAATGAATGAAACCTAAATAGTCACACGTGTGTGTGTGTGTGTGTGTGTGACTATTTAGCTTTCATTAACATTTCATTAACAATATATATATATATATATATATATATAAACATGACTAAAAATGGCAAGAAACACAACAAAATTAATGAAACTGTAAATAAAATAAAATTAATAAAAAATATGATAGTATCTCAGTGATACTGAAATAACAATGGTATCAACCGATTTTGTATATTTAATTGTTCATATTCATGGTCATTTCCATTTCCATATCAATTACTTGATAATTATCAGCTTTATAGCAGGAATTTTAATATCATGCATCCCGAATGTTGACTTTAAAGTCTCTAGGGTGTTTGTGCTCCAACATTGGTCTTGGCTAAATGTCACATTAGATCTTTGCATGTACTAAATTCAGGTAGGGACCCAAGCCGAGATGAAAGACTAGATTTAAGCCACTGAATCAATTTCTAGTTAGTCAACCTAACTGACCAAATTGATCTTGGATCAAGCCAAGCTCATTTTTGCTCTTCTGTTCACACATGTCTGAACATTCAATCAGTTCAATGATTCTGTTCTTTACACCTAACTGACCAAATTGATCTTGGATCAAGCCAAGCTCATTTTTGCTCTTCTGTTCACACGTCTGAACATTCAATCAGTTCAATGATTCTGTTCTTTATCGTATCTCACATCACAATTTCACGGCCACATAACATTCTGGAACATAAGCGAAGCTCACGAAGAGAAACCTCAGATAAAATTACTTGTGAAATTGATCATTTATCCATTCTGACCCATCTTTGCCCTCTAGTGCTGTCATAAAAACAAAAAAAATCGAATTAATTTAACCTTTTCACCTTTCTTCTTTACCGCCAGTTTCTCTGCCATTCTTCTTTGAACACAGACAGAATATTACACTATAAATAGCCATGTAATGGTTAGCGCTAATTGCCGTGTCCTCTGGGAAGACTTTAAAAATGGTCCTAATTATCAGTGTAACACACTTGCCATGTATTCAGACAAGATTCTTCACAGCAGAGTCACACTATTCAAATGCTTAAGCAATGAGTCATATTTCTGCATACATATCATTGGTTATTGAATATTCTTTTAAATTACATATTTTCGATGAATCAATTGATTCATTAAAAAAACTGTCTAATTATCTGTGAATCAATGAATCAATTCAGAATTATTCAGTCAGAATGATTTGTTCAGTACCAGTACAAAGGCATAATTTATTTTACCTTTTGTGTCCCGCAGAAGAATACTAGGGGGTCATACAGTTTTGGAACGACACAAGGGTGAGTAAATGATGACACAATTTTCATTTTTGTGTGAACTGTTCCTTTAAATTGAAAATAATCCACAATAATCTTTTAGCTAATGCAGACATAAAACTAATTATGGAAGTTTTGGCACATGGGAGAAAAATAAAAATCTTTAAATCTCACAATTCTGACTTTTTTAAGAATTTCAAGATATAAACTCAGAATTGCAAGATATAAATCCAAAATTGTGAGATATAAACTTGCAAATTGTTGGAAGAAGAGTCTGAATTGTGAGATATAAAACTTGCATAAAGAAGTCAAATTTGTATGATAAAAAGTTAGTTTCAACAGAATTGCAAGATATAAACTCAGAGAAATTAAACAGAAAAAAAGTTAGAATTACAAGAAAAATTCTGAGTTTATATCTCGCAAGTCTGAGTTTATATATATTCCATGGCAGAAACACGCTTCCATAACTGCTTTAAACAGTTCATTTTTGGGTGAAGTATTCCTTTAAGGCCTATGGACATTTGTGGCATGTTGTCAATTATTATGGACAATAAAACGAGAAGCACATTTACGGTAATGCACTTAAAACAGAAAACCACAATGATGTGGTCTCACTGATTTTATTATGTTTATCGATGGTTTGTGGCACAAATTGTCCAAATTTTATTGTGTGAAACGCTACTGATAAACTGCACTAAAGCTCTCTGGTATGAAGCAAACACAGAGGTCACTCAGCAGAGGCATAAATATTTTGTCAGAATAGCTGCAGGGAATGGGAATAGGCACATCTCACCCACAATGATGGCTACATGGTACAATGCAAACAAGAAAGAAGCAGAAGCAAATCCCAGCTTTTTGTGAGCAGAGTATTACAGGTAGCATGCTGCTATATCTCTCTTATGGCCTTAAAGCTACACTGTCGCTGCGTGTGTGTGTGTGTGTGTGCGTGTGTGTGTGTGTGTGAAAGAGATTGCATCCATGCTTTAAAGCTCAGAGATGACATGACTTTGGTTTATGATAAAGAGGCTTTGCGATTGCAGTGTGCTTATGAAGTTACAACAACATACAAATGACAGATTTGCTGGTTATGATCTATGAGATATCACTATTGTAAAATAACTATTCCACAGCCCATATTCAATGGGAATTGGGATATTAATACAATCTACTTTTATACTTTCCTTTCCTGCATTCAGTTCCATAATGTCCTTCTCTATAGTGCCTTTATCTCAACTGACACATTACCTGATATATGATATTCCTATATTTCTTAGAATGCACTTTAGCTGCATTAATGTGTCAATATTGTAAGGGAATGGACAGTTTATAACTTGATATGTGTGCAGTGTCATGATATCTGATATTCAAGGTATTTAAAGTTCACATGTGTGTCATTGACTATTTTTTGTGAATAAGGGATCAATTACTTTATGTTTTAAACTCCAAAGGTCCAAATAACAAACAGCAATATTACAATAATTTTAATTACTTGATAACTGATATTCTTTTCATTGCAGGAAAAAACTATTATATTTACATTAAAAAAAATTATTTTCTCAATTTGTTGCCAGAGTTATTCTAATTTAAAAAAATACTATTTTTTCTCTTTAATTTATGGAAGCATATATTTTATGCTAAATCTTCAACCCTTCAATTCTTACATATTTAAAACATTTGATTTCATTAATTTATTATTAGTTTATTTATATAGAATATACCTAAACCACAAAACAATAATCCCAACTTTTGTAACAGCACATATAATATTTCGTTTAATTCTGAGATACACAAACAACATTTTGTAAAAAAAAAAAAAATAATAATAATAATAATTTTTTAAAAAGAGGCTCTTTTCCCTGACACTCATTTTAAGAGTTTCATTTTGCACACTGTTTCTGTAAAGCATCTGTTGTTGTTTGTTTACCGAATTCTATGGGTGCCGCTGACACGGTTACTCATCCCAATACTGATGCAATCCGTGTCATTCTGATCCGGCGGTCCACTTGTTAAATGACCGTGTGTGTGCTTGTTTGTGAGCAATTGTGGGCGCAAATGTGCTCACGCTCCAGTTTCGTGTGTGTATCTGTGGATATATCCTTCATCTCATCTGTATTCCGCACTGATGTTCCTGCTGGGATTACTTCCTGCTGCAAAGGGTGAGAATGGAGCACCCTCACCTGCCGCTAACAAGCTGCATTTGAGAATAAATCACGTAAACGGCACTGAAAGGAAGGTTGGCCTTAGGGCCTGTTTTATTTATTTGGTCTCATTTGTGACTCATCTCACTGGTTGATCACAGTGAATATTAAAGAGAGCAGCAGTACAGACAGAGGACAGAGAAACTAAAAGGTAATGAATGGGTGCAATGAGACGTTGGCTGATGCAGGAAGTCCCTTGAAGGATCACACCGAAGCATTTAATGTGCAATAAAGTTCTTCGCACTAGGAAAATAGCTTTGGATGTGTTTAAGTAAATCTATTAATGAGAGTGAGGTATAGAGTGTCCGTAGGAAACGGCTGGGAACTTGGTTAGCATATACTCAATGTGCACAGACAAGACATTAAATTAGTCAGAGAGACACTCATTAATTAAACCTCTTTTTCTCATACAGATATTTAAGTTAACATGCTGCCACAAAACCTCCCTTAATTATAGCTTGAAGCATATGCTTGGTGCTGGATTCTGCTGCCTGCGTTCTCCACATCACATGGAAGAAATATTCATTCATTTCAAAGATGAGATGCACTCGCAAACACACAAGCAAGTAATAAACATTTATGGAAAAGATTATGTTTATATACTTGGTAAAAACCAATCTGGCTGGCTGGCTGGTTCAATAGAACTTGCAGAACTGGTCTGGGATCAGCAGTATTATACAGATAAACTTTATGGTGTGTAAGTATTAGAGGCATCAGGCCTCCAGGGTTCCTGCTCATTTTTAGATTAATTGTCAAGTGCTCGGGAGGCACAATCATCCAGAAAACTCACTGAGATCAACAGAGAGAAATAATCATCTAACAAAATTAAGAACTTTCCCCTCCAGGATAGCATGAGATATTGAATGAATACAGATTTATGTTAAACTTTTTGTGCAGTTATTTACATTATTTGAAAGCTTGCAGGCATGTTTTTTTTTTTTCCCTCTTATACAAACATTTGGTATGGGAAACACAGAATCCCTAAATCATTTTGCATAATTGCAAAGATGCATAGAAATTATGTATTGTCTCTTTAATTGTTTTAGTTATTCTGAAATTATCGAGCATTTGTATTCATACGCCATTTTTTTCTAATTAAATGCAGCGATCCTCTTTAGACATACATTTTGATTTAAAAATAACTTTTTTTAATGTCTGCTTTTATCACTATTTCTGCTGTCAGAGGGCTTCTTTTATACTCAGTGTATAGAGAGCTGTACCGCCTTTGTTGAGACTTGAAATAGTGTCTTTATTGAGAATTAAATTAAATGAGTAAAATCATTTATTGCAATATATATATTTTTAAAGACATTTTTTTCTTATGAGAGGCTAACGTTTATGAGCCGCTGAGAACACTGCATATTTTTCTACAGGGAACGCTTGCCCCCTGGCGTTTAAATTCGGAACTACATTTCTGTTTCTTTTTGTAGGAAACTAAAATGTACGATTTATATAATGCACACCTGGAGATCTATGAAACTTTTGAAGATCAATAATATAAAAGCGCGTTTTATAAAATAGCTTTAGTGGTAGCTTGTATTCTGGGAATTTTGTTAACAAGTTGCAGATAATGTTCGCCTGGGCGGAACTCTTGATTCGTTATGTTTCAACACGGTAAAGCAGTCGCACAAGAAGGAAACATGTCAAGTTTAGTTTCTTTTTAGCATTTCATTTATTAAAACAACACAGAACAATATAACTGTAGTATTACGTCAGCTTGTCCCTGTTTGCTTTAGCAGTAGTGTCTTTTTTCGAGTTTGGAGAATAGCTAGAAAAGCTTTGACAGATCATTAATAATGTCTAAAGCTGCAGTTCCTCTGCGAATTCTCTGTATTCACGGTTATCGACAGAATGGGAACTCTTTTAGAGGGAAGACAGGAGCATTGCGCAAATTATTAAAGAAACAAGTGGAGCTGGTGTATATTAGTGCACCACACCAAGTTCCTGCAATTCAAAACGAAAGTGAGTGTAAAACTGATATTATATTTGCTGTACATCAAAACCTAGTGGGTTGCCTAGTGTCATACGTACATTAAAACGTATAAATATGTAAGCCCTCTCCGTACGTTCGTGTCATTTTTTAATCTTTCAGTCTGATCTTATTACTTCTTCAATACAATTAGCCAATCAGGGGCCTGAGAAGACGGCCGGTGGTGGTGATGAGGACCAGAGGGGCTGGTGGTTCTCTGATGTCCAGGCACGAAGTTTCAACGCTCAGCAGGAGTGTGAGAGCAGCCTGGGTCTGGAAGAGAGTATAGAGACTGTGAAAACTGCAGTGAAGGAACTTGGCCCCTTCGATGGCATCCTGGGCTTTAGTCAAGGTGCCGCCCTGGTGGCTATGCTGTGTGCCCTGCAAGAACAAAAACTAGAGGCTGATTTTAATTTCCGCTTTGCCATCCTGGTCGCCGGATTCCGCAGCGTCTGTTCCCAGCATCGTCGGTTTTACGAAGGGCCGGCGATAACAATCCCCTCTCTGCATGTGTTTGGACAGGATGACCATGTAATTCCAGAGGAGATGAGCCGAGATCTGCTGCCAGCGTTTGATGGAGCTCAAATCCTCATTCATCTTGGTGGACACTTTGTTCCAGCGGCATCTTCACACAGGCAGACATACCAAGACTTCCTCAAGAAGTTTGAGTGAGAGGATAAAAGAGTATCTCAGATTTCCTGGAATAAGTCAGGTCTACATTAAATGTAAATCTTGAAAAATAGCTACATTATGAAAGCCTTGGAAACTGAACGGTCAATAATAATATGTTTTACACTGTTCTCAGGGAAATGGTTACTTGAATAAAGACTTTCACAAGTATGCAGTGCTGTTTTGTTTGTTGTCCAGCTCATTTGTTTGACAGAGTCTTTTTAAAGGATATTTTGGGGTTCAAAAGTTAGGCTCTGTAGCATGGAGTTGTTTGCCACATAAAACAATATTAATATATGATATTAAATATGAAATATAATAGTAATTATAATATATGTGTACATTTGTTTATTAAATAGAATTGTAAAAAATAAATTAATAAATATTTACGGATTTTTTTTTTTTTTTTAACGGAACAGTTTATTGAACATGGAAAAAAATGAACAAAGAAAATTTTAAAGTTTTTAAGTATCATATTTGATACATCAAGCTTTTATGGCTTATATAGTATGGTATAGATGAATATGCAGCTCATACCCGAGGAGGAAAAACATCTCACTTTTATTCAGAGGCCCGAACTGAGCAAAAATATGCAATTTGATGCAGTTCCTGATATTTATATGGCCAAAAATTTAAACCTATAGCTTGTAATGTAAATAAATGAAAACTTTATAACAATATAGCAGACTAATTTAAAATGTATTTATATTCCAGTTGTCACTCTATATCTACCGATAATATTTCTTAGAAAGATGATACTTAAGTGCTTAGTTTTATGATCAGGACTGTAGTTTATATTGTTATGGTCAAAACAAAATGCAATGCAATACAATAATGACAGAAATACAAATAAACGTTCATCAAAAGCCTGGTGTATTGCATTTGATACTCCCATTTTAACACGATTTAACATGATGTTGATAATTTAGAGGCCTCAGAAACAACGCATATCAAATAGTATACAGTAGGTCTTGTAGGTTTAAAACAGTTATGTTCATCATTATTTTATTTTGTATGTTAAAGTGCTTATATTAATTATTGTATACAAAAATGCTAGTGGAGCTGTAAAGTTCATAGGTTGTTGGAATACTGTTCTAGGGAATGAACTTGATGTAATTCATGTGGGTGGGTTTTCTGTATGTAATTTGAGTTTAGTGCTGACACATGCAGTACCTCCAGTTTCCATTGGGGGCGTTAGTGAGAGTCTTTCCCCTACAGCTGTTTATCATTTTGATTTCTCCGTCAATGTCTGTGTGTGTTTGTGCGCGCTCACAGGCAGATTGGGAACTCTGTGTTCTCGTGTAGCTTAAAGGGAGTTTGCCAGCCCAGGATTGCATTCATGATGATTTCCAGATGTTTGTGGGAAGCACTCCTCTATTCTCACTCATTCTTTCCAATGTAGCCAGAGCGTCCACGCACCGTCCCTTTCCTTTAACTGACCTGATCTCTCACTTTTCTCCCACTCTTTCTGGTTCCATCCCTCTCTTAATAAGGATTATAAGGGAAAACTTTCATGTTCTTTTTGCGTTCCACCAAGAAACTTCGCATTTGCTCGCAAACCTTTTACATTCTTTCAAATGGTTTGTGAGTGAATGCAAAGTTTCTCAGGGGAACACAAAAGTTTTGTGAGTGAATGCAAAATGTCTCGGGGCAGTGCAAAAGTTTTGCAGAAGAATGCATAGTTTCTTGGGGGAACCAGAAATTTTGCGAGTAAATGCAAAAAAAAATTCAAGGGAATGCAAAAGTTTTTTGCAAGAGAATGCAGAAGTTTTGCAAGCAAACACAAAAGCGTTGAAATTTCCCCTCCCATTTCTAATTGTTTCCATTACTATTTCCCTTTAACGGCTCCAAAGGGTTTTGGTCCTGAAAGGCTGGACTTCAATTTATACAGACACCATAAAGAACGTTGCAATTTCTTCCACATCCACTTCCAAGATCCACATCCTCCTTTGTCTTTTTTCCCTTTCTGGTATTTTTCTGTCATTATTTAATCCTTTAATATCTATTTAGGCTATATAATTATTATAAATATTATATATAAATTTGTGGAAACATTTTTAAATATGATTTCATTATTAATGCATTTTGCTATCAATACCAAGTCAAAAAATCACATTTTACAGCCCCCTCGGTTGTTTTTCCCCCTCGTTTTGTTTGTCTGTACTTTCCTTCTCAGTGCCACGTGTCTCTTTCTCCGCTCAAACAGGTGGTTTTGATAAATGGAAGACAAGAGAAGAGGAGAAACACAGAAACTCCCTCTTGCCAGTAAGTTTTACAACAACTCTGTGACTCCCGGCCTCAGGAATCCATGGTCTTACACAACAGCAGTGGTCAGGGGTGAGAGGGAGAGTTGTGTTTGAAATGTCTGGAAAAGATAGACGTGAGTGTTGTGTCATGCTATATTTTGATTCTGGTGGGCTATAGTAGAAGGCAGGATGATGCCAGCAACCTGTGTTAAATGTAACAGGAGGTGTTTTTTTTTTTTCTTTCTTCTGAGGAATGAGGAAGGTGTGGTTTTGAGAATGTGGGCGGAGCTACAACATGTTTTTATAAGAATAGTAGAACTGTGTAGTTTCATCCTGCGCCATTTAACAATCTTTTGTGTTCTCTCATCCTGAAAGCTGGTTATATGGACTATATCTGTTTCTGGACTTTTGCATTTATTTTGGCCTTCATACTGGAAATCTACATCTTTATTGCAGAAATTGAGGAGTGATGCGTTTGGAGCAGTGATGATTTTGGGTATCTAGTTTGTCATATGTTGGAGTCATGTATGTATTGTGTCATACAGCCAATCATGGTCTCATTTCAAAGATGTTTTGCGTTTATTATAATGGTTTATGTAGCCTGCATAGCTGTAGTGTATGTATGTATGTGTATATATATATATATATATATATATATGAACTTATTCATAAGATAGCTAAAACCATTATAATAAGATGAATCTGGTTGAAATGTTGCTGTAGAGCAGATTGAAAACAATTAATATTTAAAGAAAACTGAAATATACTTATGAGGTTTCCCAGAAGAGCAGATGACGGTTAATTCCAGGAAATGAAGAGGTCACTGTTTTGCTGGTGTGGCCGAACTGACCAATCAGATCTCAGCAGTGACAGAGCAGGTGGAGGGAGTTTCCCAAGGAGATTACTTAACCTAAAGAATAACTATGATGTCACTGTGATGTCAGTGTGATGAAGCACATGGTCTGTATTTGCAAACAAGAGTAAGACAGGATGAAGAACGAAGGATTTTTCCAGCGAAAAATGTTGAATGTTCTGAGATTAGAGGTTGTTGTGGGATTGTTTTGTTACTATGTTTTTTTTTTTCTTTTTCTTTTAGAGGGTTTGGCAGTGTCTTATAACCAGGAATTCAGGAATTCATCCAGCAGAGTGTGATTTGAGTTACTTATTATTTATTTCCAGCCTGATCCAAACACGCAGTCCTGCCACTTCATGGTTTTCCTGTTTTATGTGGACAGTGCGTATCATAAGCCAAAGTTCGTTTCCTGACTTCTCAACTTTCCAAACTCATGCTTTCTTTCTTTCTTTCTTTCTTTCTTTCTGAGCTGCTGGAACTCTGTGCTATCATTGGTAAGACCTACAAGGTTCAACCTTCAAATTCTTGTGGTTTGGCTGTTCCTTCTTGTGCGTCCAGTTGTTATAGGGGCACATTTGGGTCAATTAGAGGCGGAGCTGATAAATCACAGACTATACTTTCCATTTCTAATCACTGCTTTTAATGTATCTTAATAATTTTTCTTTGTCTTTTTAAATGGGTAGAATTTATTGATCTAAAAAACAGAATTTAAACTTTTATTAGGGCAAAACATGTTGCTGATTACATCTTACATTATTTTCTCTGTTTTTCTGCTTCAAGGTGTGACACTGCCAAGTTATCTTTTTTTAGAGGCTGAATGTGTAATTAACAATTCTTAGAGTGGCAGTGTATCTATCTATCTGTGTGTGTGTGTGTGTGTGTGTGTGTGTGTGTGTGGGTGTGTGTGTGTGTGTCCGTCCCTGCACGGTGCCCTTAGCCCTGAACAGTAAGAGTTTATGTGCTGAGGTTCAAGTATCAGCACATGGTCTCTTACTTGTAGGGAAAAGAGTCTCTATCGACCTCTCATCACTTTGTTTCAAAGTATTCACTTTGTTTTGGAAGATCAACATTTACTTTTAATCATTCAGCAACAAATAAGAAATGTCACAAGTTTAGCATACATGAGGCAAGAATTTTCAGAAAGTTTCCAGATCAAACTTGAGTAGTGCAGACAATAAAAAAAAATTCAGAATAGAGAACTTTTTTTAAACCAAGGAAGTGTGCTTATTTACTGTTGTCTGCTAAATTATGAAATGTATTGCTCAACATGGTTAGGCAAGATGCATAAATCTTTAACCCTGGGCAAAACTATTTATTTTAATTAATAAAAAACTGCCATAATTTAAAATATTTTGTAATGTCACAGTTTATCATACAAGAGGCAACAATATTTGGTCAGATTCAAGAGTACGGCTAAGTAATACAGAAGCTAGAAAATAATAAAAATGCAGAAGAACAGAGAAAAAAATTACAATTTATGTATAGAAAGTGTCTTTATTTATTGTTGTCTGCTAAATGATAAAAAAATAATAATAATGATCAACAGGGATTAGATGCAACCTTTTTTTTTACTTTTTACTTGGACCCATTGTCCAAAAATGCTTTAAAATGTAGTTAGCCCTGGCTAAAAATATTGAAATAATAAAAACTGGTATAATTTATGGTATAATTTGGTATAATATTAAAACCAAAACAGGGAAATTGTCTTTGGATGTTGAGATTTTATTAACTTAAATTTTCATAGAAACATTTCTGAATATAATTTCTTTCTATTACATTAATTGTACCAAGCACAACACTGGCACACAGATTGTTTTCCGCAACTACAAAATCTCTCCTCAAGAGGGCGACGTGTGTCTGCTAAACTTGAATATTTTTTAGCATTTCTATTGCACACCACTGAAAATTGCTGCAGATCAAAATAAATTTAGACAAGACATCTCTGCCAGTTTGATATGTATTAATTAACCACTGGATTCACTGAAACACCTGCCCTGCTGTCCCAGATGGCACTGCAACCGGTAAAAAGAAAA